CATCTCCTTTCACTTGGATTATTGCAAGAACCTCTCAATTAGAAGTTCAGTCTCTCCTTCCTCTAAACTATCCTCTAAAAACCTACAAAAATGTAAAGCACATGGCTAATCATGTCACTTGCTTACCCAAGCCTTTAAGAGATCCCTTATTGTTTGGGGAGAAACTAACAATTCTTAACCTTGATATTTAGAGTCATGCACAATTTGAATCCAGCCTAACTCTTCAGATTTATTTCACCTTGTTCTCAGACATGCACTCTATATTCCAGCCCAACAGGCCTACTATCAGAATTCTATCTCTATCTCTGTCTCTCTTCATAGGACATCCTCCACATTCCAAATACCCTACCTTATCTCTGCTTCTTAAAATCTCAAGCTTCCTTTGTGGTCCTGCAAGTGGGTCACCCTTATGGAAAGCCTAGTTTCTAAAACTGTCCCTCTTCAACTAATCATATATTTACTTATCTGTATAAATATTTTATCCCTTTGTCTCCAATAGAATGTAAGCTCCATGAATGTAAGGAATATTTTGCATTTTTTCCCTTTCTATCCCCAATTCCTTGGACAAAGCTCTGTGCATACTGGGCAGAGAAAAATATCCATTGAATGGAAGGCATCAACTCACTTTCAAAAACTTTAAGTCTCGTTTATATTGGTAAAATAATCATAATAAACAGATACCAGAAAAACTCAATGACACAATTTAAATTTCATAAATTACTTTCCTCCCACAATTTTTAGGGGAAAATATTATTATTCTCATTTTACAGATGAGATAACTGAGGATTACAGAGGTGTAGTCACTTACTCACAATCAGAGGCAGAGCCAGTAAGACTCAAATCCAGCTCTCCTAACTTCAAGTCCAATTCTCTTTCCTCTGTATCAACCAATGAATATATCAGTAAAATTCCCCCAGCTGAAGCCTCAGTCTGAGAAGTGGGGAGGGGGAGGAAATAATAAATGAAACAAATGTACCTTTAAATACACAGAGATCTTTACCAAAGGTATTCTTATCTAATCATGGTCTATCACGTACTTACTGTTTGTAGTGATGTTTCAGGATGTATGATACGGCCTATGGAAGAAAACATTTACTTACTAATATGTTGTAATAATGTTTCATGCATACACTTCTCTTAGAAATCTTTGACTTTATATGACCTATAAGGGACCAGATACATGAAGACCCAAATCAAGAATGAATCCTACTCATTAAAACAGAAGAATGGGGAGTTTGAGGCCCTATGCAAAACTGAAATCAGTATAAAGTTTGACATATCAATAGGAAGAGGAATAGACAGGCCCTCCTGAACTGAACTATAAATCAAAAATCAGATCTAAGTATTTTTACAGCAAAACCAAGAACAGCAGTGGTATCTATTGATAGAAGAAGATGATGACTTTAGACTCCAAGGAACTATCTTTCCACAGTGAGGAAATGTTTATGTTTGGTTTTATAGCATTTGGGATTTAAACCCTTGAGCACCTTGACATCAAATGTAGCTGACATCATCAAAATGCCATTTGAAATCCACTGGGATCGAGAAAATTGCTAGCACAGAGATGAGTTGTTTGAGAAGTTCTCTAAATTTTCAGGGGCCTTCATTAATTTTTTCTTTGTCTGTGTTTATCCAGGATTTTTTTTGGTGAGGCAACTGGGGTTAAGTTGCTTGCCCAGGGTCACACAGCTAGTAAGCATCAAGTGTCTTGTCTGAGGCTGGATTTGAACTTGGGTCCTCCTGACTCCAGGGCCAGTGCTCTGTCACTGCACCACTTAGCTGCCCCCAGGATTTTTTTTTAAATGGAAAAAATCCAAAAACATTGGGTAGCAATATAATCAAACTAGTAAGTATGATCTGCTATGGAAACTCTCAAAAATTGTTCTGGGATCAATATGTAGTAATTGGCATTGTGACAATGATGACCAGGTATGAAAATTGGTCCTAATCACATCACCTGATTCATTTTGGTTCTATAATCATTCAAGTTTCTGCAATGTAGGTTAGCAATTCTATTGTTGGCATAATTAAGAAATTCCAAGAGCTCCTGAGAAATCCTAAACTATATTTTTAAAGTATCACAGTATCAATTACATAATCATCTGATTTTGTTGCTTTCTCAAAATTTTTACTCTTACTTTCCACTTTAATTAATAACCTATCCAGTTCAATTATTTCTAGTAGATTAATGTCCTTTTCAAATACACCTCACTTCCAATTCCATGGCCAAAGAGGCTCCTCTTTACCATGTGGATATGAAAACCATTCATAGAATATCTCTACTTGCTCTAAATGTCTTCAAGGCATTTTCACTACATGTCAGCATGCCATTCAGGAAGCAGCCTCTTCAATGTGGGGGATTGTATCCTCACCCCACTATATTTATTAAAATCTAAAACTTTATGAGTCTTACAACCCTTTTCTCCCTTTCATGTTCCCTTCCCATCATCACTGCAGAACCAGAAAGGACCAAACAGACCTCAGATATTTTGCATTTGCAGCAGCCACCTTACCAAAGGATCCTCAGTTTGGTTTTATCCACTGACTACAGAGGGACTATGCTTGAAAGAGACTGGGTCCTCTTCACTTTTCCCTTTCTTCTTCCCATAGGAAAATTTTGTGAGAAGCAAGATGTGCTCAGGTGAGAGGGTGGGTTTGGCCACAGTGCACAAGCATTTCAAGAGTGACTGGAACAGGTCTGGTGGTGGAGGGGGCAGCATTTGAACAGCAACTAGAGCTCCATCCATTTTGGTCCAGGGAGCAGCCTGAGAATCCTGTCTGGGAACACCAGTCATTGTTTCTCTTCCATGAAGCACAATTGATAATGGTGATTAACCACTTCTTCAATTGTCTCTCCCAGTTTGGGAAAGCCTATATTAACTCAAAAGTTTCTTTCTTTTCTCTAGTTTATTTATATTTTTGTTTAATTAGCATTGCAATATAGCATCAGCTAAAAGTATGGTTGACCATAGCAATTTCCAGTTCATATATGTTTCATTATTGGGAATAGGATGTGATAGGGAGAGGCAGTAGGAAGCTACATAAAAAATGTTACAAAAAATATAGTGTTGGAAAATAGCAGGATCTCCCTGCCTGGGAACTCTGAATTTAGTTAAAAGGCTCCTGTTGATTTATATTCTATAACTTCCCAAAGTGGAGTAAAAAAGCATGAATCCAGATTTATCCTTCGACAAACATGAGCCTAACAATAATTTCTGTCTGGTGAAGGATTTGACAAGCTTACATAGCACAGCACATGGCCTTCTCTATTCTGCTAATGCTTTGTAAGAGCCTTCTAAAATGATGGAGCCAAGGGTGGCGACTAAAGGGCAAGTCTCATTTGGTGGAGGGGAGTAGCTGGAGAAGACTATCAGTGTCCACATTAGAAAGATGAGGGCCAAACAGGGATAGATTAAGGATGAGAAAATGAAGTGTCAGATGTGGGGAAAGGCAAATAGTCCAGTGCAGCTAGATTGTACATTGCATGGATGGAAGTAGTGTAAGACACAAAAGGTAGGCAACAGTCAGCTTGTGAAGATTTTTATTTTTTAAATGATTCTTTATTGATATCCTTTGTTTTTACATGATCTAAATTTCTTCTGGTCTCTCTCCCTCTTCACCCCTCACAAAGAGTTATTATGTAGAAAAAAGAACATATTTTTACAGGTGTGTTATGCCACAAAGGTAGCCCTTAATAAAAAGAAATTCCCTGCATATGCCAAAATATTTATAGCACCACTTTTGTGGTAGCAAAGAACTGGAAACAAATCAGGGGGAGAAATGATTATTTTTCTCTTACATTACTAACCTATTATTACTTAAGATTAAGGTTTTCTCTTTCTATTTCCTCATTCACATATCAACCCCTGCAGGTTATTCAGCCAGTCTCTAAAGGACACTGCTGATGGACTAGATTGCCCAAATCCTTCGGTACATGCTTTTGATCTTGGATGGAACCCCACCCAGCTAGAAGTCCTTACAAACAGAATCCAGTTGAGGTGAGAACTTGCCCTTAGTATATTAAATACCTGTCCTTGCAACCTTCCATTAGAATTTAGGGTAAGCCAGCTTATGAAGGGGAAAACCAGCCAGAGTGATCTGGGTAGAGATGATTTCTTTTATCCAGACTGCTAGAGGTGGTTGAGTCTCATGATCAGGTCATGTTCTCAGCAGAAAGAGTTGAAGACTTTTTGCCTCTCCCCATTAATATGTTAAATATTGACCCTCTCATTGAATGTTAACCAATCAGAGTTGATGTCCACCCTCAGGTACATCCCCTTTTCCAAAGGATTTTTAAGCATTCAATGTTCTCCAAGAGGCATCTTTGGTTTCCAAGAGTGCCACTTATATCATTTTATTTATTATTTACTAGGCATAATAAATTGATTATTAAATATCCAGAAACTATGTCTCTCAGACTTTTCATTTATCACAGCAGATGACCAGTGATTGGGGAATAGCTAAACAACTTGTGACACATGAATATAATGGAATATAATTTGCTGTAAGAAACAATAAATATGATTGATACAGAGACATAGGAATGATTTAAATTATCTATTACAGAGTGATGATAGCAGAGCCAACAACACAACACATGCAATGAACATAACAATGTAAATGGAAAGAACAGCCCCAACAAATCAATACAAAATGAGTGTTGCAAGATTCCAGAGAACAATCATGGACCCAAAGAAGAGCAATGAGAGACTTCTCCCTACTCATTTACAAAGGTTGGAAGTTCATGTTTATGGAACACATTGATTTTCAGAGCTTTGCAATCAATATTTAAAATCACAAATTTAATCCATAAAAATGAAAATATACTTTTCCTAAAACCCATTTAATGGTATCACTTAATCCTAACCAGTATATTGGTAAAACATTAGATCCTCTTCAGAAAAAAACAGTTTCATTTTTTTTTTTTGCATCCCCCAAACCTTATGAAGTGCCTGGGACATAGAGTATACTGAATAAATACTTTTTGTATGGAGTTAAATTCATGAAAAAAAGTGGTTTTTACTCATTAGTTTTCTCAGTGCCCCTTTTACTTCATTGTTCCTTAGACTGTAGATCAATGGGTTCAACATGGGGATCATTACGATGTAGAAAACAGACATGACTTTATTCATATCAGTGGAATAGCTGGACTTAGGCATCACATAAATGAATGTAAGGGTGCCATAGAAGAGAGTGACTGCAGTGAGGTGGGAGGTGCAAGTTGAGAAAGCTTTGGATCTCCCCTCAGTGGACCTTATCTTCAGGACAGAGAAGAGGATATATACATAAGAGACTATGATAATTAGCACTGTGACCATAATTACTGACCCAGTAGATGCAGAAGGAAGAATTTCAGCAACATCATCTTGGGAATAGGAAAGCTTCAAAAGTGGTGAATAATCACAGAAAAAATGGTTGATTTTGTTGGATCCACAGAAAGACCGATTCAATAAGCAACCAGTGAAGATCCAAGCATTCATGCAACTACCCAGGTAGGATGTGATGAGTAACACAGTGCAGACCCTAGCAGACATGTTAGTGGAGTAGAACAGAGGGCTACAGATGGCCACATACCGATCATAGGCCATCACAGCCAGCAGAAAGCACTCAGCTGTCCCAAAGGTGGCTCCACAGAACATCTGGGCCACACAGCCTCCAAGGGAGATTGTTGTTTTGTCCACAAGGAAGTTCTTGAGCATAACAGGTGTGACAGATGAGGAATATGCAGTGTCTACAAAAGCCAAGTGACTAAGGAAAAGGTACATTGGGGTGCCAAGTTGGGAGCTATTTCTGATCAATGTGATTATGCTAAGGTTACCAACTAAGGTGACAGCATAGACACCCAGAAATATCACAAAGAGGATGACACAAAAGGTTGAATCATCTGCCAACCCCAAAAGAATGAATTCAGTCACAGCAGTGCAGTTATTGCCAGACATCTATCTTGGTAAGAGTACCTATTAAGCAGAAGAAAAGGAGATTAAAATTAGAGGACTAAGATTTGGATATGTCTATTTATGTCTTCAGGAAACATTCACTGACCACCTCCTACATGCCACTCCTACTGCCTTACTCCCATTCTTGTGTCCTGTGCATCATGGCAGTGTACCACAATCAAAGCAGAGATTAAACAAATTTACTTCCTCCAAATTTTTCCCCATGGTTCAACCATACTACGTGATTTGGGAATTTTATCATTTTGACAGTATGAAAAATTCTGTAAGAGTGAAGAGAATAGTTGAATTTACAACAATTTTTTTAACTATATGCAGAGACTATATCCAAATGTGTAACTGCTGTTCTGCCAACTAATCAGCATTGTTAATCCATTCCAAAGAAACAAAGTCTGCTTTGTGACCCCTCACCTCTCACAAGACAACTTTCCACATCCAACGATGTTATCCACCTCATGCTCATTGAATATCAGGAAAGTCCTAGTTTCTAAGATGACCCTTGTGCTTTAAAATCACAAAAAAAGAATGGGAAAATCTGAATTCTAAGTATTCTCATTTTCCTTTGCTCCTAGAACTTGGTATTACTATGAAGGGCTAACATTATACCAGATATTGCCAGTTTGAAGGACTCTGGGAAATTTCTCATGGGAACATCTCCTGTTTTTACATAGAATCATGGAAAGCACTTGCTCAACCTGCTGTAACTATATCCTGTTTACTTATTGCTTCCTTCAATTGCAGAATAACTGAGCAAATTCTGGAATAGAAAAGTAGTGGCAAATTATTGTGCTATAAGCAGTGATGAATTTGAATGTTTTGGAGTAGTTCAAAAGAAAACACTTTCACTAACAGATGCAGAGTGAACTCAGTAGAATCAAAAGAACAATATATGTGATGATCACAATAACCATGAGAGGGGAAACAACTTTGAAAGACTTGAGAACTTAGACCAAAATCATGACAAATCATGGCTTCAAAAGAATGATGAGGAAATATTACCTGCCACTATTGGCAGAGAGTTGATGGACCTGAGAAGATTAAGATTCATCCTGTATCATTTATTTATTGATCCTATTTATAATTAATTGATTTTTGTCCTGTAACTGCTTTTGTCCTATAATTACTTAAGTCATGGTTTTTTGTCTCTGAAGTTATTTCAGAATTCAACTAGCCTGTAATGGGTTAATTTTACAAAGCCAGCTCCCTTGCTAATCACTTATCTATTTTTGCCTCAAGGAATTTAACTGCCCTTTGGGAATGTGTAGGAAAGCAAAGGAGTCTGGTCTAAAGTCTCTGCACCACCAACCTATACTTCAAGGATGTCTGGTTTCCTGTCTAAAAGTCTGGGCCGCTACCTCACACCTGTATGTCTTATAATGAGCATTTCTTATTCTCATGAGAGGAGAGTCATTGCTAGCCCCTATTATCAAACTTTCAATCAATCATGTTGTTCCCTGTACCTCAACTCTGTAACCAACCAGGTTCCTCTTAATCCCATGCTGTTATCTACTTGCTCTGTTCTTTGTTCTGCACTCCCCAAAATCTATAGAAGGAGATCTATCCTCTTGCTTAGGGTCTTTGACATTAGTAGAAGTAATCAAACCTCGGTTAATAAATGTTATCTTGCTCAGAGAGTCTCCTCAGTTTACTTTTTGGGTCAATTTAAAATTCAAAAGACTAGAAATATTGAAGGAGACAAGCATTTTCAAATATGGCTGATCTGTTGATTTGTGTTCCTTGACTCTATATATCTCTCACAAAGGAAAGTTTATATACATATGTGTATACATATATTTATATATATATATGTATATATGTACACACACATATAATATTGCTTTTGAAGGCAAAACTACCTTGATAATATTTGCATTTGTTGGTTCTTGTTAAGTTTTAAATAAAAGAAATTATCTTAAATATTACATTTTCCTGGAATTATCTTATTACTCCCAACAGAAAATTCATATTTCCTCTTTCCTAAGTCCAACAAAAAAAATATAAAATGTTGAAATGCTGAGAAAATAACTGACTATAATACTCATTTGTGAGTCTATAGTCCAGCTTTTTTGACCACAAGAAAAAAGAATACCTACTCTAAAAAAATTGTAGAGTGTTGAGGCAATTTTTCAATGCCTCCTATTTCACACTTCCCTCTCAAGAAAGGACTTTGCATCCTACTTTTATGACAAAAGGTCCCTGTGGGACTTCTTTTTTTTCCTCTTTTACAATTCAATATGCCTCAATATCATCTCTATTGTCTTTGCAACAGTCTCTGAAAAAGAGATAGTCCTTCTTTTCTCCATTGATTCCATTTCTCCTATTTCAAACCTAAGCTTTACCCATTGAAAAATACCTCTTTAATTTTATCTGTGGGTTTCTTCCCTTCTTCCTACAAATGGACTCAGGTCTCTCTAATCCTTTAAAACCTTTCATTTGATGCTTCCTTCCTTTTAAGTTATCATACTATATCTCTTCTCTTTCCCAATATGCTCTCAGGGGAAAAAAACATCTACCCCTGTTGTGTATACTTCTGCTTCTACTCACTTTTTAATCCATTATAGTATCATACGGTTTCTGGGCCCATCACTCCACTGGACCTATTCTCTACAAAGTTATCAATAATTTCTCAATTTCCAAACCATAATATTTTCATAATCTTCATTTAAATTTCAAAACTATAGGGGTTTGGGGGGGTGTCTACCACAAGCATATGAAGACTTGCCCTGGCAGAATGGGTGGATGAGAACAATTTCTTCCAATGGCTATGTAGGCAGCTGAAGCAAGTGCTGTGAAGTGCTTACAAGTTGGTCAGACTTTGAAGGTGCCAAGGTCATCCATTGAATCCAGGACCATCGACAGTTGTCCTGACTTTTTTCTTGCCACTGAACTTTGATGACTCTGGAAGACAGAGTGAGGCTGATGACTTTGCGCAACTCTGCCTCACTTAAATCCAATTCACACACTAGTCAAGACATCACCCTGTGATTTCACTGGTCCTCTTTGAAAATGAATAATGAATAACATTAACATCTAGTAAAGTGACTGAAAAATAATAGGTACATAATAAATATTTGTTAGTTGATTGATTCTTGGCCTCTGCCCAGCACAGGACAAGATGGAAAACCTACTCTTCATGGATACTTTATCCTCATGAATTTTCATGCCACTGACTCTCCTGGTACTGGTATTCTTGCTACTGTATAACCTTTCCTTTTCAATCTCCTTTGCCAGATCATGATCCCTTAAAGCCTCCTAATTGTAAATGTGACCCAATCTCTGCCATAGGCCTTCTACTCTTTTTCTATACATTCTCAATGATCTCATTACCTTCCACTGCTATTAATTTTTCCATTCATGTAAATCCCAAATTTTTTATATCTAGCCCTGAACTCCTATCTACACATCACCAATAGTTGAACATTTTTACCTAGATGTCCCAAAAGCATTTCAAACTCAACAAGTCCAAAAAAGAACTCATCCTCAATTCTTCAGCCTAAAACCACTTATTTCCACAATTTCCTATTTCTGTTCAGGGCACATCCTTCCAGGTATCCTGGTTACAGTCCCGGAATAAATCTCTATTCTTCTCTCTATCTTCCCTTTCCCATCCAGTTAACTGCCAAATATTGCCACTTCTATATCCAGAACATATATCACATCTCATACTCACTCACATAACCACCACCCTGACTCATCTCCTCTCAATTGGATTATTACAAAAGCCTCTTAATTAGAAGTTCAGTCTCTTCTTCCTCTAAACTATCCTCTAAAAAAATCTATAAATATGATCTTCCTAAAGCACATAGATAACCATGTCAATTGTCCAATCAAGCCTTAAAGACAAAATAACAATTTTTCACCTTGATATTTAGAGTCATGCTCATTTTGAATCCAGCCTCCCTTTTCAGATTTGTTTCACTCTACTACCAGGCATATACTTTGTATTCCAACCAAACTAGCCCACTGTCTGTTCCCTAAACTCAGAATTCTATCCCCAGCTATGTTCCTCTCCTCAGGCCATCCTCCATGCTCCAAATGGCCTACCTCATCTCTGCTTCTTCGAATCTCAAGCTTCCTTTGTGGCTCAGCTAGTGGGTCAACAATTGTAGGAAGACTAGCTTCTAAAACTCTGTCCTTTCTCAACTTACCTTGAATTTACTTATCTGTGTACATATTTTACCTCTTTCTCTCCAATAGAACGTAAGTTCCCTAAGATTGATAACTGTTTTGCATTTTTTCTTTCTACCCCCAGTGCCTTGGACAAGATTCCATGAATAGTGGGCAGAGAAAAATATTAGTTGAATGGAAGGCACCACCTCATTTTTGAAACCCTCAAGAATTATTTATTTGTATTGGTGATAAAATTGTAATAATCATGTAACAAGAATACTAATAACTACAGCAATTTAAATTCTATAGGTTACATTCCTCCAATAACCTTTAAAGGAAAATAATGTTATTCTCATTTTATGTATGAGGAAACTGAGGATCACAAAGGTTCAGTCACTTACCTACAATCACAGATACAGCTAGCAAGTCAGATCTGGGATTTAAATCCAGCTCTCCTGACTTCAAGTCCACTTTTCTTTCCACTAAATCAACCAACAAATATATTATTGAAATTCATCTCCTCAAAGTCTCAATCTGAGAAGTGGGAAAGAAGTAATACATTAAAGAAATGTGCCAATGTATATGCATAGATCTTTACCTAAGGTGTCCTTACTTAACCATGTTCTATCAGGTACTTACTGTTTGTAGTGATATTTCAGGATATGTGCTATGACCGATGGTAGATCAGACTTTACTAACGTGGTGTAATAATGCCCCATAAATATAGCTCACTTCCAAAACTTTGTCTTTATAGGGCACGACAAGGAACTAGAAACATGAAGATCACAAATCAGGAATGAAATCTTACTGATTGAGAGAGAGAGAGAGAGATGCATGTAAAATCAAAATCAACACAAAGTTTGTCACGACAAGAG